TAATATAGACTACAGTTAATATGGCCATGATCTTTGCTCTAGTTGATGATATAAAATTCTCAACTCTATCATTAAAGGTGTATTTTGCTTTATTATCATCAACTGCAACCTATCCACAACCCATCATTGGCATTTGAACAACTTGTTGAGACTTGTTGTTATTATTATTTTCTTATAGCGAACCGTCTATATATATTTTTATGTTTTTGCTATTAGATAGTAACTTTCTAATCTGATTTAATTTATCTTAAATTTCATTGTTTGACTAAAAGTTTATATATTTCTGCATGGTTGTTGGTATTATTATTAATACTTATATTTGGTATCAGATATAATGTATTTGGTTGAACTACTTGTTAATTAATTATGATACTATTTAGACTATACTTGCACGCAAAATTATTTTGGGGTCCCGAAATTACAATTTTGAGAAAAAAATTCGAAATAGTTTTTCATAGAAGACAAAATTATTTTACTTAAAATCCAAAATTTTTTGATTACTCAGATTTATTTTTTGATTAAAGATACATATAACTAGGTACTTTTTTTACTTCCATATATAGAATAGATTTTACATAAATCTCAAAAAGTCGAAATATCTCAAAAATCCAAAATCAATTTTGGGAACATGTATAATTTAGACTATTGCAACTGTTCCTATTTCAGATTATAAATATATTTTGTTTTTTCTGTTAGGTGTTATTCTACTTAAAACTTTACTTTTAATTACAATAATGTTTACTGTTTGTAAGATACTTACTTTGATTAAATAAATACTTTTGTTTCTAAGATTTTTGTAAAATTGTTATCTTCTTGTATACAACCCTGGCATTTCTTTAATGGTGATATTTCTTCCTTATTGATATTCTTTTCTCTAATATAATGTGTCAAAATGAATTCGTGATTATTTATCACTTTGTATTTTTTTTTCAAAATTACATCTTGATCAGTTATTTCATTACTTTGTTTATCAATATTTTGTTTACAAGTATTATATCTGTCACTTAATTTTTTTTTAATTTCTTCATTTAATATCTGTTTCTCTGTTGAATTTGATAAGAATCTTCTTTCGATTAGTTTAAACCAATTTAGTTTAGGACCTCATCTTTCATTTCCAGTTATTCCTTGTCAGTATGATAAATGGTTATCATTATATGACGATAATTACTCCATAAATATTATTTGTCAAATTTTAAAACTTTTTCTATATTGAAAATAACAATCGTGATTATGAAATACTTCTTCAATAGTCATATTTTCTTCTTTTATTAGTATACTTTCTAGAATTTCTTTTGATATTTTAAATGAAATATTATTTGTTTTACAAATTTTCAAAATGTCATTAATCAAGAATTGGTTTTTTGATGTATTAAAAATTTCTGTTGATTCCAGGATTCATGGTTATAAGATTAATTAATAATATATTTATTATTTATTAATAAATAATAGATTTTAATATGTAGTAATATTTGATAATTATTTTTAATTTTTTAATATCAAAAATAAAATAATCAACAATAAATTTGCCCACCATACAAATTTCTAAAGCAATCATTTTACCATTGAATTTAAAAAAAATAACTATCAAATATTACTACATATAAATATTCATAATTTAATAAAAAAAACAACAAATATATTACTAATTAATTTTATAACTAAGAATATGGAAAATTGTTAATAAAGTTTTTAGAATTTTTTCTTATAAATTAAATTTAATATCAATAATTGAATATCGTATGTCTAAAAAATTATTCTCTAGAATTTAATTACTCATTATTTATTTAATTTTAATTAAATATTCCTGAATACTTCAAAAAAGATGTTACATATTTTAAGCTTTAATATTAATTAGTATTAATTTTATTATTACTTTATTAAATAAAAACTTTTATATATAAAACAATTGATAATTATTTTTGAATTTTTTTTTTATTTTGTTAAAATTTTTATTACTTTATTCATGTCTAAATAAAATCTAAATTTTTACTAGATACTATAAAAAACTCTTCTAATTAAAATTATAGATATTGTTTATGGTTATAATTTCATATAAAATAATTGATATCTATCTTTAAAATTCATTAATTCTAGTATAGGCAATGATTAAAAATTAAATTTATTATTTTTTATCAATTTTATTTGAAGTGTAATTTCTCTATTGTGAATATTTAACTTTAACAAAAAATATATTATATGATAACAGAATCTAATAAAAAAAAGTTTATACAATTTAGATCATTCATTGTAGTACAATTAATATTTTAAATTTAGTAATTTTTTTAAAAAATTTTTAACTGTCCAGTAACTTTTGACTATCTACTATATATAGTGGCTCACAAAAGTATTATAATATCTGTTTTTTTGTCTTTAAAAAATTATACAGCCTGAACGATCGATCTTAGAATAATAGTTACTAAGCTCATTTTAATTCTTGAGTTTTGAAAATTTTTTTGAGATATTTTTGATATCAAATTAATAATTCTGATTTTGCATAAACAGGTAATCTATATGGTAAATTGTCACTTAATAAAATTTCAATTGTGAATAAAATTTTATACAGAATGGTTATAGTCAAAATGATTATAGAGTTAATAGTCCTTTCTGGGAAGATCTGGCATATCAGTAATTACTGAAAATTTACTAATAAAAAATTTTTTTAATTATTTTATTAGTAAAATTTTAATTTCAAGGATTAATTTTATAGTAACCACTAATTCAATTGTTATGAAATTTGATATGCCAAATCTCCTCAGGAAGGACTATTAATCTTATAATTATCTTGACTGTAATAATTCTGTATAAAATTTTATCCACAATTGAAATTTTATTAAGTGACAATTTATCATATAGATCACCAGTTTATGCAAAATCAGGATTATTAATTTGATATCAAAAATATCTCAAAAAAATCTTCAAAACTCAAGAATTAAAATGAGCTTAGTAACTATTATTCTTAAATAGATCGTTCAGGCTGTATAATTTTTTAAAAACAAAAAAAATGTGTTGCAATACTTTTGTGAGCCATTGTATAAGATAATTATATATGCATTTGTAGAGTTATCAGATATTAAACTCTTAGTTACAGTTATAGACAATCTTGCAATATAATTACTATATATTAAAAATTATAAATGACCAGGGTCAACAAATTTCAAGATTATTTGCTATTTTTCAAATGACCTAAGTTATTTCACATATGAAATTAATATTAAAATTATTACATGATAAGATCATTTTGAAGGTCATTTTCCATTCTGTAAATAATTACTTTTAAATAAAATAATATATACTTAGTATCTATAATATTATTAAGAATATGGAAATGATTGCAAAAAAGAAGATACATTACAAGTAAGAATATAAATACATATGCTCCTCTTAGATAGCAATGTCAAAAGAATATAACTTAGTGTTGATTATTATGTTTCCAAAATTTATTTTAGATTTTTGAAATATTCATTTTTTTGAAAATTACTTAAAATCTATCCTATATATGGAAGTAAAAAAAAGTATACAGTTAGAAGTATTTTTAATCAAAGAATTAAAATTAATTTTAAAGTTATATAAATAAATTTTTGATACAAGTATAGTGCTGATATCTCATTATTGACAAAAATTATTATAATTAAATTCTTGATTCAACAATTTTTTTAAATCTATTCAAGTTCCAGACAAAAGAATTTTTTTATTGATATTATCTATTTCTTGAAAATTCCATTCCTAATTATGAAAATCTTCAGAAATACTGTATTTTGAAAGGATAAATTTTCACAACTTATAAATATAAATATGAATATTTATTTTTATTTTTTAATTCATTATTAAATAACTTTTTTTCAGACTTATCAATTGATTATATCATCACAATTTTATAAAATTATTATGCAATTTCAAAAGTTTCAATTTTGTATACAGAAGGTCTTTTTTGATTTTATTTTGACAACTTTATCATCAAAATTTGTAATATTAATTATATAGAAATTTGTATACAGAAGGTTTTTTGATTTTTTTGTATTATTATATTATAAAATATGATTTAATTTATTGGTTTTTACTATAATATCTATCTATATATTTTGTTATAATGTTTTAATAGTATAATATTGCTTTATGATCTATTTCTCAACAGGTATGTAATAAATGGTGATTTTCTAGATCCTGAGGAAACATTAAGAGAAGTTTATTGTTTACACATTTGGTTGAATCATGTTTTTTAAGTAACAAGGGAATTTTATTAAAAAGTGAAGCTTGGATTCTATATCTTTTTTATTTACTTGTTTTTTTTTCAATTTATTTTATCAAATTATTTATTGCTTATATTGAAATAATGATTTATATATTTCCCTTTTTTTATATAATTATATTTATTAATTTTGTACTTTTCTTTATTATTTTTTTATTGTGTATTTTTCCTTTTTCTTTATTGTTGTAAGTATATATATTTATATAAGAAAAAATTAATTTTATTTATTTAAAATAATTCTATTAACCAAAGTTAATTCTCTTTTGTATTATTGGGCTTTCACCATTGAAATAGTTATATTTTTGTTAAATTGTCATTGAGAATAGCAATAAATTAATTATTTATCAGTGAATAAGTTTTCGGATTTTTATCTTTGATTTTAACAAATGGTTATACAAGATTGTATGTATTTATGTATTTTTTGGTTAATATGAAGAAAAAATATTAATTAAATTTTGATATTTAAGAAAAACGATTCCAACATAATGAAATTTCCCAATGCTGTTGGCCAATGCAATGTCTCTATAAAAACTTTTCACGCCACGAGAAATTTTCGCTATTATTAATTTAATATTTAAACGCACCCTATCTCTCTATTAAGTAATAATTAAAAGATGTATATATTTATTCAATATACAAATAATAATAACAAAAAAAAACCCCCCCCGATTATTATTTTTATGGAAACTGTGTACATTGTACAAATAAAAAATGTATATATATATGTGCGTTAATAAATATGTTAATAAAAAAAATGTCATACTATAATGAAACCTTAATAATATTATCTGGTCTATGTGCCATATTAACATATTTAACTCTTAATGAAAAGAAATCATTAACTACAAACTCTAAGAATAATAACGATAATAAAAATAATGAAAATATTAAAGCATTTTATAATTTTCGTAGAAATTATTTGATAGTGTATTTCTTTGTGACGGGTAATTATTATTTTCATACTAATTTAAAAAAAAAATAAAAATGCCAGAAAAAAAAATGCGAAAATTTTAAATAAATTTGAAATTATTAAAATAAATAAAAAAAAAAGCGGGAGATTGGATTCAGGGACCTTATTTATATACTTCATATAAAAACCATGGATTCGATTTAAATCAAATCGCTATTCTTTTCGTTACTGGATTTTTAGCGAGTGGTATATTTGGAATAATTATAGGATCAGCTGCTGATAAATAGTGAGCAATGAATAATTTTATTTTAATAATTTTATTTTAATAATTTTATTTAATAATTTTATTTGTTAATCTCATTTATTAATTTCAGTGGAAGAAAGAAATTTTGTTTGGTTTATGCATTACTTTATTCTACTTCTTGTTTAATAATTGTATTATTTTCAAATTTTTATATTTTGTTGTTTGGAAGGTATTTCTTAAACTTTTCTTTCATTCATATAATTTATCAATTGCATTTTAAATTGCATTCTCAATTACATTTATCAATTACAATTTTTAGAGTATTGGGAGGAATCAGTACATCACTTTTATTTTCAGTATTTGAAGCATGGATGATTAGTGAGCATTTTTCAAGAGGTTTGATAATATATAACTATATAACTTAGTATATAATTATATTTACTAATTATATTTACTAATTATATTTACTAATTATATTTATTAATTATATTTACTAATTATTAATTATATTTATATGACTTATTTAGGTTTTGATTCAAATTTACTTTCTGATACATTTTCATATATGACATTTGGAAATGGATTTGTTGCAATAATTTGTGGACTTTTAGCAGGTGGATTAGAAAAAAATTATGGAATTCTATCACCTTTCATAATGGCAATTTGTTTTTTTATTGTTGCTGCTTTAATGATTATAATCAATTGGAATGAAAATTTTGGAAAAATGGTTGAACAGGTAATAATTAATATTTAATAATAAAATACAATATTTATGGTAATATTTACTGTATTTTGACAGAGGTGATAATTATATATAAATAATTTGTTTTATTTTAATTTCTTTATTTATTAAGAATCATTCTTCAAGAAGTTTAATATCATCATTATATTATGCAATTATTATTATTAAAAATGGTAAATTATAATCTTATCTGTTATATATTTATTTATAATAAGAATAATAAATAAAAAATGACAATATTATTATTTAGATTCTTTTGTATTAGTACTGGGAGTTGTTCAATCTCTATTTGAAGCATCCATGTACATTTTTGTATTTCTTTGGGGTCCATTATTAGAAATTCAGCATAAATCAAATTTTAACTTTTACTCTAAAGAAGAATTATTACCTTTTGGCTTGATTTTTTCCAGGTATATAAAATCTAATTTAATTTAATAATAATTTTTCAAGTTCATTAATTAATTTATTAATTTAATTAATATTTTTTTTGTAAAAGTTTTATGGTTGCAATTATGATTGGATCTTTAATATATGATTACATAAGTGGACCTAAAAATATTTCATTATCTACTATTTCCCATTTCAATTTTTTGATAGCATCAATTTCATTATTAATATCTACATTTATTAAAGTAAGTTATATAAAAATTTCTTTATCATCATTATTATTATAAAATATGTAAGTTAAAATTTAAAACATTTGATTATTTTATTTGTTTTATTTTTTAAAGGATGAACTACTATTATTCTTTTTTTTTCTCATTTTTGAATTTACTTGTGGTATTTATTTTCCATTAATTGGAACTCTACGAGCAAAAGTTGTTCCTAAAAATTTACATGCTACTATAGGAAATTTATTTAGAGTTCCTTTAAATTTAATAGTTGTAACTATATTGGTAAATAAGAATTTCATTTTTAATTCAATCTATTTTTTGAAAATTTATTATTTTTAATTTTTTAAATTTTTTATTTTCTTTATAAATAGATCAGTGAATTTTTAATATTAACAAAATGTTTACTATGTAGTTTATTACTTTTTATTACTTTTATATTGTCATTTGCCTTTTCAAAAATATTTAACAAATAGTTATAATATCTATTGATTAAAAATTATTATTTTTTTCAAAATAGTTTAATTAATAATTAATTAAAATAAATATTATTTTTTAAAAAGAAATTTTAATATAAATTTCAGAAACAATAATATTTGACATTTCATATTAAGTTATATAATTTTGTGATATTTACAAAATTTTTATATTACTATTATATAATAACTAAAGTTGCTGAGTAAAACTTATTTGGAAGTTTGGTAAAAGATAAAACACTTGCTTATAACAGTTAAAACTATTGACAAAACATTTTGCCATGTCATTGATGAAACCTTATTATTTGAAAAAATCTTAAAATTATATCAATTTTATCTACAGAGTTGTAAGTGGATAATACTTCATTATTTTATTAAATTAGATAATTTTCAGGTACTAACTATTGTAATTGTTTTTAGGACTAGTGTCTCAGTAGTACAGTATCATTCTATAGATCTAGCAAGAAAGATATAGTTTAAAAGAAGTTTACAGAGTTGTAGATAAAAAATACTTTATTTATTTTATTAGTTTGAATGATTTTTGATATTTCCAGGTACTAAATATTACTTTTGATTACTTTTAGAATTTTTTTTGTAGTAAAATCGAATAAAACAGTGATACAGACCGTTTATAGATCTAAACAAGAAAGAAAAGTAATTATATAGTTTAAAAGGGTCTACAAAATAATAGGTAAGTAATACTTATTAGTATAGATAATTTTCTGGTATTTTTAGATATTAAATATTACTTTTAATTATTTTTAGAACTATTTTTTGCAATAAGAACAGGTGGCGCAATATCGTTTTAGGGAAATTATATAATTTAAAAGGATCTACAGAATCACAAAGTGGTAATACTTTGTTTATTTTATTAGTTTATATAATTTTCTGATATTTTCAAATATTTTTAAATACTAATTATTATTTTTGATTGTTTTTTATAATGATTTTTGTAGTGTTTCAGGTGGCACAGTACCATTCTATATATATCTAGATAAGAAAAAAGGTAATTGTATAGTTTAAAAGGGTCTACAGAATTGTAATTGGATAATACTTTATTTATTTATTAGATTATCTAATTTTCAGATATTTTAATAGATTTTTATTATTTCAAGAGAGTTGTAATTAATAAATTGGCTAGTTTAAAATAATAAATTAGTTATTTTATTAATAATCAATTTTTATTTTTATCAAATTTATTATAGTTATTTAAAATGAAATAATGTTATTATCACTCTTTGCAAAATTATATGGTCATGTGATAAAACGATCTACTAATAAAATGCTAAAAACCAGTGATTACAAAATACGTGTCATATAAAAAAATTTATATTACATATTAATAACTAAATTAAAATGCATGGAATAATAGACGAGTGTTTAGAGTAATTATTTGT